AATTAATACCTTGCAGCTGTTTGATAAAAATTGAGTAAATATTTCACTTTTAATTTATTGTGTAGTTCAATATGCAAATCTATTAAAATACAAGCGCCAACAGCCCGGAGAACTAGGAGCCCGGAGTCAGGAGCGTAAACTGAAGCACAAATCCAAATCGAAAAGCAAAAGCAAAAGCAAAAGCAAAAGCAAAAGCAAGCAAATGCAAACGCTTTGCACAACAAGCAAGAATCCTGCATAATTTAATTGTCTTGTTGTCGGTGTTAGTTAGTCCCGTCCGTACTGTCGTCCCTCCGGCTGGATTGTCTGTCTGTCCATCCGTCCGTAGTGTCTTGTATCTAGTTGTTGTTCCATTCAAATGCATCTGCATCCGCATCTGCATCTGGATCTGTCTCTAGATTTTCTGGTAGTCCTGGCCCACGGCGTTGTTGCAACTTGTCCTTAATCCACATGCGGCTGCCGTCTAACCTCCGTCTAGCAGCCGAGACAGGTGTGAGCAGGTGCTCAAGAGTCAGTTCATAGATTGCTTTAGTCCCACTGATACCCCGGAGTCTGGTTTTGCAGTTTTGCGGTTCATGTTCATCGTTTGCCAACCACAATTACAGTGTTTACTTATAGTTGTATTGCTGACTGCGGCTCTTCCTCCTGCTGCTGCTGCTCCGCCTCTGCCTCCACCCGCTACTTGTTTTCGTGCATTTGGGTGTTGAGCAGACAACGGAACATGAGAGTTATTCAATGTTTTGACTACTTTATTGCAAGTTCGTGTCTGACTAGGTTGAATTTGAAAGTGAACTTGAATTTAAAGTGTTTGAGCGGAGCATAAATTGTGCATAACAGGTGGATGGAAGCATATAAATGCAAATAATACAAGAAGTAATATGTGTATATATAAAGTTCATGTATCAACTGATCGATTCATCTTGTTTGGAACAATGGAATGAAACAGTGCAACGTATCAACTCAAATCGAATAACAACAATGAACAAGTATGACATTTAGAGCAAGATAGAAAATAGAACAAGGACAGACCTGACAGCACGCGGAATTCCTAGCCCAATCCAATGGGCAAACGCTTATCCGTTTATATGAGTTGTTAATGAAGTTTATTAGACCCAGATTTTCGATTGGAATGCGCGCAATTTCAGACATTCACAATTGGAGCCATCCGATTGAAGAGATTTGAGAGAACTATACCAAAACATTGACGACTGTCTGGCGACATGATTGAGGGCGCATCTGAGACCCCTGCCTCCCCGAGCACAGACACAAATCCATTAACATTAGAGCGAATGTGGCACATCAAATGGTAATAAAGAAGAACTTCTCTGAGTAAGACTAGGAAAATGGTTATACAAGAATTTGAATTCACAATGACCCAAAATGAGCTGCACAGAGAGTTCTACGAAAATGTCTCAAGTTGAAAATGGAACCAAGACAAAATAAAAGAAATAAAATAAAATAAAAAAAGAGAGAGAGAAAAAAAATAAAATTGAGAACGAAACCTCAGAAACGAGCCAGGCGATGGCCACAGCTGATAAATTCATTAAATGCCTCAACAAAAACGAAAAAAATAGAATATATACATCTATTGCAGGCGGGCGTATCTGACTGGATAATGCTCTGTTGACTTTTGCTTATCCAATTTTATAAAAAAGCTGTTGAAAAGGTTTCTATTGAGACGAGGGTAATTCGATCAACTTTAGATTCTAAATGTAAATGTAAATGTAAATGTAATTAAATAATAAGTAAATAAATAAAAATAATTTACAAGTATTTTTAAATACAAAAAACATTCTTAGTAGAATTATTAATAATTTGTACCACGCTCCCATTGGGCGTTATAGACTAATCTTATCGAATGTTAAAGTTACTGTTAAAATTAAAAAAAAAATTAAATTAAATAAAACAAATAGAGACAGAGAGAGTGAGAGAGAGAGAGAGAGAGAGAGAGAGAGAGAGAGAGAGAGAAAAATAACTAATATACTCGCTTGCTCCAATGCATTTGAGCGGCTATCAAAATACAAATAGAAAATAAGAGCTAATGTACTCGCTTGCGTGTTTGAGCGGGTATAGAAATACAAATAAAAATGTGAGGGATACAAAGACATGCACTGAAATTCAATACCTTTTCTTCTGAGGGTTGTTGTTCGTAGTTGCTATTATTGATGTTGCCTAGTGTCACTTTGTTCGTTGTCGTCATTGTTGTTGTTGTTGTTGTTGGGTTTCACTGCAGAGCTCTGCTCTCTTCCCCCATTCTTTCTATACTACTCTACTATAAGAGCGTTATCGGGTAGTCGTACAAATGATTTTGATTTTGATTTCTCGTCCCCTCATTGAGAACTATAATCATTTTTTTTCCGCTCGCCCGATACAATCAGAGTTTCGTAGAGATAGGCTGTCATATGTGTGGAGTTTATTGTTACATTGTTCCGCTAATGCACAGCAACGGCTGCTGGGAGCCGGAACTATGACCGAATCCGAGCCGGTACCAGAGGGGAGTTACCAGGGAGTTACGAAACCTCTTGGCTCACTTGCACTGCGTAGGACAAAGTTTGTGGCCAATTGTTTGCGGACAATGTTTGGCTTCTTTGACCAGAAATTACGGCAAACACAAAATAGAACAAATTACTGAGTGGAAATATGGGAATATAAGAAATACTATAACTGAAAGCAATACAAAGCAGAGCCCTGCGGCTCTCAATCGTGGGAAGCTTGTGAATGCCAAAATAATAAATTCAAAACACTTGAGTTTTCATTTTCAAATATGAAATTCGCAGGGCGAGCCTTAAAAAAAAAAAAAAAAAAAAAAAAAAAAAAAAAAAAAAAAAAAAAAAATAGAAGCTAACTGCACCAGCTTTGGCCGGATGTGGGCATGGCCAAGGGTCGTACGTGTGTGTGGGTGTGTGTACAGAAGTCTCTAGCAGAACATTTACATATGAATAGCTGCTGGAAATCAAATGAAAGGCGACAAGATGCAACTCCAGCTAAAGCCACAGGCACCCAACACACACACATATACGATCACATACATGCGAGCCCCACACAATCTCAACTGTCAGCTGGCATCGACTACAACTCTTCGATTCGAAATTGCCAGTGAAGTATTAATGGCACAGCATTTGAATAACAATGCAAAGTGTGGGCGTGGCCCGGGGGGTGTTGCAAGGAGTGGTAGAATGTGAAAGCCCCAGTTGAAAGGCCAATTTGTGTTGCATGTGGTCAGGTGTCGGTGCAGGCTGCGATGAGCTTCTTTTGCCAGACTCTGATGTAAGTCTGAAGAATGTGCACATTAACCAGTGTCAGGGTCCTGAGTGTCACTGCTTTTGTGGCCAATATCGAGATTTTATTGTCAGAATGCAGATGAAATATATGTAAATCTTGAAGTAGGATCTCACAAATTTTGAGGATACTTCTTCAGGAACCATAGAATTCGATCTTTGACTTTGAAAGAAGAGATCATGTTTTCATTTAGATCAAATATTAATTTTGTTCAAAACTATTTTTAATTTTGCATTTAAGTATATTTCATACTGCAAAACTATATAGGTAAACAATTATATATGCCTACATATATAGTTATAATTATATGGTATGAAAAAATGTTTGAGAGCAAAGCCTTAAACTCTCTGACAAAAGAAAGAATCGCAGAAGAAGCCGCAGCTCATTTAAAAATGAAAATTAAAGTCCTGATCGAATGAGATTATAAACAGTTGGCTGGTTAATTCCTAAGCTGGTTACTCTGATACTCAGTTAACCGATTTGCGAGCCGCTCATGGGGCAGCCATGTGTGGCATCCTCCATGGAGCTCGGCGAATGCCGAAAAGTTCGTCTGCGGATTGTGCGAATGCACTTAATTCCCGCTGGATGTCTGTTATTAGTGTCCCTTCTGTCTGGCCGATCTCGCAGAGCTCTGCCAACAGCCAAAAGCCAACAGCCAACAGCCCAGAGCCAACATTGAGCATTCAGCATTTAGCATTCAGCACTCCCTCAACTCAAAGCAAAGGTTGCGGCTGTTGTTAATTTCTCGGAACATTCGCTCGGTCGTTCCACTATGCATAATCAACATTAAAGAAAACCAAAATTCAACAGAATTTCTCCAGCCGAAGAATCGGTTTAAGACAAAGATTAAAAAACCAGAAATATATCTGTATATGTATATACGAAATAAAGAACAGAAAAAAGGAAGAGAATCATTTTATAAGGTTCACATTCAAAAAGATGCAAACGTCATTTAGCTTAACGTTAATAAATGTAATAACAGATTCTTTGCTAGGGATAGATCACGAATGCTAGCTAATCGAATTGATGTCTATTGATATCTATTTATAAATTCCGATAATAATGTTATACAGTATTACATAATTATTATTATTATTCATGTCATTCAAGTAAATATACATACATACATTTATATATATATAAATATGAATAAACCCAATTTTATAGCCAACGCTTCACTTTCCCCGTTAATGTGAATATTTTTCACATTATTTCAGACATGTATTATCTTCCAACATCTCTTAGTCACATGATTACTTTAAATTAGGGACTGGTACAATTATAGCTTGTATAGAAAAAAAAAGATTATTTTTGAATAATTAAAAAAAAAATTTTGTATTATTAAAATAAAAAATAACGGGTAATGGATCTACATTTATTCATGATATATTAAAGATGATGTTTGCTATCGATTTGTTATATTTTCCTGCAAATGGATTTACGATATCTATGCTTGGAGAGGAGACCTAACTCCTCTAAAGGATTTCCACACTTTGGTTCATCGGTTTAAAGTTCAAGTATCGAATGTTCTGCAATATTATTATATGATATGATACCATTCCTACTCTGAAAGCTGAGAATGAAAACTTAATTTATTTTAAGTTCAGATGTCAAATATATTGCTGCTACATGTGTCTATATTGCCATTACTCTGGATCAGAATCAATATTCGCAAATATCGAGGATCATAAGGTAATATATTTTCATAAATCTAAACTTAGTACTCATCTAAATTTTTGTTAAAAAATCCTTTTCTTTAGCAATGATTTCTTTCTATGCCTTTCTACCAATCCTTTTCTATCCATCAGGTGAGCAATTGATCAATATATAAAAATATAGTTGGATCCTATCTAACTCGTTTCATTTGACAGCTGTCAAATGCCAATGCTATAGCTGCGATAAATTTTGGAATACTGATTGTAAGCCGCGTGTTGAAGGCTTCCACTGTGATCCTAATACAATCGTAGCCACCAACATAAACCCCTTGACGGAACTTTCAACGATGTACACTGAATGCAGTCTCCCGCATCATAACATAAGTGAGTTCTTTTCTTATAGCTTATAGGAATCCCTATATATACATAAATTGTTTGAATTTTTGTCTCATTTTTTCTCATTTCTATAGAATTACTCAAAGATTTCTGTTGCGTTTTTTCGCCGCAAATCGGCTGCAATGTAGCCCTGAATCCGGTATCGTTTGTGAATAAGCCGAGCAGGTATTGTACGCATTGTTTCCAGCGATGTAATTGTACGGAGAATGTGGCCTCACTGCCACAGGCCTGGCACTGGGGCAAACTATGCATTATGTCCAGCTTGATTTACCTGCTCTTCAGTCCGAAGTCGGGAATATTTTGCCGAAATCTCATGAGGACGTACGCCTGTCCCGTCAATCAGGTGTCATACATTTAGAGAAATTCTGTTTATTATTTAATTTTTTCGGATTTTCAAGGGTCTTGTAAAATTTTCTTGTGAGACTTTCGGGTTAAATATGGGTGCCTTTCCCGGTTTGGTACTGAGAATGCTCTTTATGCTGGTGCTGAGTAAGTGGACTCCAACTGCAGCGGTGGTCTTCAGTGAGTGCTTTAGTTTTTCGTCCAGGTTCGGATGCTCAATGTGTTGATTGCGAGAAACACTGGAGTTCGCAATGCAAACCAAATGCTTCTGGTCACTATTGTATGCCAGGCACCTTGATATCATCTAAAGGTCAGGCATACTGGGATGAACCGAAGACGCTGAGTCAGTATGTAAATTGTATACCTCCGGGATATGTTGTGGGTGCGTGACACATACATATATCTAGATATATCTCTATATCTAATATTGCTATTTATTTCAGGATTTGTTCATGGCTGGTGCTGCTTCTGGTCAAAGAAATTTGGGTGCCAGGCTGCCGTGCATCCGCATGTTTATCAGAGCGGAAACACATTTAAGTTCTGTCAGAAATGTCAGACTTTGTGTAAATGCAGCAGCGCGACAAAGTTGCTCCCCAGCAATTCACGGGCCTGGCAGAGAGTCTACCATGTCTTTCGATATATACTTTTTACACTCTTTCAGATACTTAAGTAAGGAACCTTATTCAGATAGATGTGATATATATGAAGAGTGTATGGTGTAAGGGCTCTACAGCCAAACAGATTAAATAGACTGTTAGGATTAAAGGATGACATCATTAATATATGGAATGTATATAGTTTAAGGTATACCAACATTTTATATCAATCAATCAATTAAAAATAAAATATATTTTCGCTTGATTGAACTAATTGATCAAGTTTATTCCCAATTTAAGCTGAAGGTGGGAGTATTTGACTTGAACATATAAAAAACCCTGTTCGAGTAGTATAACGGGGATGAGGCTTATATCAAATAATCATAAACATATATACACATACATATGTATATTTATACCTATAGTTTGCTGTCTATTGGGAATTGTCTGTTTTATATGGTATGTACATCTTTTATTTACTTCTATGTACTGTACTTCAAGTTATTGGTTGAAAATCAAGAAAAAATATTTATTTATTGATTTATGGTATACAAGAATATCTATTTAAATTGTAGTCTTTTGTAAATTAAGAGATCGCTGTGCTGAAAGGAACGGACGGGAAGATGGAGATGCCTAATTAACTTCTCTTGACTAATTGTATGTTCGATGCTCAAGAGACCGTCGTTATATCCGGAAGACGCAATAAACGTACAAGCTTGCTTATATATGTAAGTTTTACTGGGGACCAGTATTTTAGTCGCAATAATAGCACGGACGCTATGAGTGAAATTGTTATAGCCGGACTGTATTATACATACATATATGATAAATATTATAAGTGTATGTAATATATATGATATTTTATATATGCATAGATAGTATCTCAGCTACATTTTAATTCTATTTACATTTCTTGCAGCCTCATGAATTTCTTTCATATCATCTTAGCTACTTCCTTAATATACCTTTAGAAAATATCCGAAAGCCAAATCAAGTCTGACGGGGCTGCTCTAGGAGCTTTTTACGAATGTCCCATATTTTATGTGCCATTTCAATTGTCTTCTATTCTTCTAACTTTAGTTCAGGGTCATTTAGGCTCATTTAGGCGTGTGAGTTTAAAGTGGAATATGAATACGCAAAAGGCAAATAAAAAGTCAAGTCAAAAGCAAACGCAAAAAAAAGTGTCGTAGGCGCTGTCACTGTGTGTATATGTGTGCGYGTGTGTGTGTGCGAACTACATTTCATTTCTCTTGCTTGTTTATTATGATTTGTACTCGTATATGTGTGCGTGTTTAGTGTTTGCATTCGTAGTTGTTGTGTGTTCTGCTATTTGTTTATGCTACGTTCGTGTTGTCTGTGGTCAGTTTTCAGCTCTATCGTCGCGGAAATGTCGCGACGCCGCCGTGCGACGAGACGCAACGCTTCGCATTGTTTACGCTTATGTGTGAAATTGTATGTGTGAGTGTGTGAGTGTGTGTGTGCGGGTGAGTTTGCAAACCGGCGAAGACGCCGAAAACAAAGCTTTTGTTGTATCTCGGAGAGCAATCGAAATTTCGATTTGGCTACGTACAAGTAAAGAATTATAATTTACAATTTGTTTCAAATAACATAAAATATTCCATTTGACTAGGCAATAAGAAAAAGTATCAAGAAATTCGTAAACTTTATATTAGACAAAATCAATTCAAAACAAAATTCAATACTACAGTGGCAGCCGCCACATGAATAATTACACGCATTTGATCGATATCACGGCAATTATTTTCAGTAGCTGTTTGTTGTTGGCACCTTCACAATATTATTTATGCTCAGCTAACTGGCAATTATCCGCACTTGGGTTGATATTTGAGCTATTTAGATGTCATTCTCTTATAATTGGCGATCGAAATGGGTGATATACATATGTACGTATATGTCGTACGCTGTGTTAGCTTCTATGTCGTGATAGCACGGTCCAGTGATATTAGAGGGGAATTGACAGATCTTATTGTACGAGTGTTTTAGCATTTCAGTGAAAATTAAAGGATCTATTATCACTAGAAGAGAGAGAGAGAGAGAGTGAGAGAGAGTGAGAGAGATAGATATTGAGAGAGATCGTGAGAGAGAGAGAGAGAGAGAGAGAGAGAGAGATAGAGACAACTGACGTGGTCCCTTGCGCTGTTGAATGACAGCGCAGGATTGCAATTATTTCAAAAATCAAGAATGCAACCAGAAATGGGGAGTTTGGAGCAAATGAGAAAAGGGACGTGCTTCAAGATGGTTGGACGAGCAAGAGCTTTGTAGCGAGTCTTTGGATCAACACTGGAAACTTGTTAATCTGTATATATTCGAAAGTTAGAATAAAATAAGCGACATTCTTATTATTCAATACAGATGTAGCTTATTGGCCCAATCCAAATATGGCAGCGCTACTCGCTGAAAGTGAAGTTCAAACATCTTTTGTCAAGTTGTCATATGAGGGAAAATACTTTAAACCGAAGTGAAATGTTGATTTTAATGCTTGTTGCGAGCTCTGCTTTTGTATCAAGTACAGTCCTATAATGTTTTCGGCAGTTCTTTATTGATTGTCAAGAAAGGTAGGTAAACAACTGTCACTCCAGTGAAGCCATGCAACTAATATCAATTCCAATCCAGCCAAAAGCCGAACCCTCTGTCAATCTGGGACATTGGACTAAATTCCACACACTCACACACTCACACGAAGACATGAAGCAATGGCCAGTAGAGCAGCTACAAGGATTTGCCCCGATGCCAATTTGTTGTCGTGGTGGGTAGCATCTAATGAAATTAAATGTATCAAAGACAGACAGCCAACAACTGAGTAAACACACACAGCTGAGAGAAGTGGGGGCGGACGACTTGACAACTGGGGACTGGGAGATGGGAGATGAGAGCTGGAGACCCAGTTGAAATCGCTGCTGGCCAATACACTTGAGTGATTGAACATCAAGAGAAGTTCAGGACCAGTAAACAGCAGCGAGTAATCAGCGCCTGCACTGAACTATATGAGCCAGAGGACTGGCGGACTACAGGAGCACTAGAGGACGACGGCACTAGCTGGATAGAGGAGCAGAGAGCTCGCACACTTTGCTAGTAGGTAAGTGAGAGAATGTCCCAAGACTGTTTGGTACGTGACTAGGAACATTATTGTTTGCTTATCTACACTTAATTGCTTCTGGCTACACTTAATAATATGATATTGCGCACACACACAGACAAAGTCTCTCGTAGCCACAACGTCATCGTCTTTGGTCTTTGGGCTCTCGTCATTGTGGTAAAGTTCCCTTTCCCGTTCCCATTCCCCATTCCCCATTCCCCATTCGCCATTCCCTATTGCCTTCGCTTCAGCTCTCCTCTGCGTTGCTGTTGCTCCGCCTCCTGCTTTAACTTGTTGTCGTTGTCGAAGGTGGAGTAGCTGTGCGGGTGGGTGCAGTGGTGCGGTGGTTCTGCTACTGCTGGTTCTGGTGCCGCCTTGGCCGTATTGTTTGTTCAGTTTTTCACTTTGCGTTGGTCGTCGTCGTCATCGGCCGTTGTTTCTTTTTTTTTTTTTTTTTTTTTTTCCGTTTTTTTTCTTATTCCAGCTTGAGATTTGTTGCACCATAAAAAAGGGGACTGGGGTTGAGCTTCTCGGAGATTCTTTCTTCAGGGCTTCGCCTAGTCGACGAGCTGGGCTATTTGTTCGCCGCGCTGCTTCGTGTTGTCTTTCGCTGGGTTCGAATTTTTTCGTTTTGCCATGAAAAATTTCATTGGAATTGGTTTTTATTGTGGACCTCGGCGTTTTGATGGATTTTCGGTAGGTACAAATTGTCCGCTGCTAATGGAGCATGAGGCACTTGTCTGACCATGTGTGTGTGAGCCAGCGCTCGAGCATGTGGACTGCTTTATGGCATCAAATGTTGCGGGGTTGCCGACAAGGATCATTAGGTCGCTGAGAGATCTGAGCATGTGTCAGCTAGACTCGCTTTTGAATGACCCAAAAGGTAAACTTCTCAGCAGGTTCACAAAATATTTTATAGGTTCTCTTTCCCTGTCTTGAGCTGGGTTCTGAATTCTAGTTTTTTATAAAAAAATCAATTGTTAAAACGCCAAGCTGCTTGTTAGGGCAGACGTCTTGCTGGAAAACTGACTCATCTCTATGAGTGGAAATTTTTCATGTAACATTTTAATCAGTATTGTTAACTTATTTGTTCTTTTTACCAGAGGGTTAACTCTTCTTAGACATCTCTTCAGCTTTAATACGAATATATAATACTTCTGATATTCGACATTCTATATTTGGCTAAAAAAGTTGTTCCTTATCTGATCCCTCTTAAATTACTGAGAATTTCCATAAGGAAAATAAGATGGAATTGCACGTTTAATCAGATTTTACCCTCACTCGAATCTCTTGTCTTTGGTGTATCATATCTCCTATTCCTTGTGTTTCTTGTTATATTATCACTCATTTTCGATTACTTCGGGAACTATCCATCAATAGCTCAATCGTGCGCCTTCCTCAGTAGCTGGCATTCTCTCTGTGTTTCATACCTCTATCACACATATCCGCACACATACGCACACATACATACACATACATACTCACATACGCAGCCACATTCGTGCCACATTGGACCACACATCAGCTCTACCCTCCGACTGCTTTAGCTTCTCCTCATCAGCCCTGCATTGCTCTCTTTTTCCCGCATTTTGCAGCCTCTCCTGCTGCCTGCCTCGCTCCCTTTCTCAGCCATCAATCTTGAGTGCTAATTGTTACGAGTTTTCCCATCCCTCGCCCCTGCTGCTCCCCTGTTGCTCTCTCCCGAGTCTGGCTTAGACAGCTACGCGCTTCGGTTTCTGCTGTCAGCTGTTCGGCGCAGCAATTGAAAATGGAAAATGGAAATTCCTCACGCTGTGCCAATAGACCCGAATGACAATTGCTAATTTAGCGCTGCGATGACTTTTAGAGTTTCTCCCCTCAGGCCTGCCTCTTGCAGGGACTGCAATTAGGGGGCGTGTCGGCATCCCGGAAGTGCGTGACTTGCAATGGTTGCCGCCCATTGGACCCAAGTACCGAAAATATGTGTGCGCCTGAGTTGGAGCAACTCTCTAAATCAGCTGGGAAAATTTGTAATTGCAGAACGGGCAGGGGAAAAACTGTAATCGGGCCAATGAGCATTTCATTGACAGGACTCAGGAGTCGATTTCTGAATATGCCCAAGGAAAAAATGCAGAG